AAAGCCAAATGTTTCACTTTCCAGCGTTTCATCACAACTTTTTGATCTGGTAGTAATGCCAGGTGGTATGGGTGGTTCCAATGCTATGGCGTCATCGAAATTAGTTGGTCAAATACTTAAAGAGCATGAAAAACACGGCAAATACATTGCAGCAATCTGTGCTGCACCGATCGCCCTAGAATCTCACAAAATCGCCATAGGAAAAAAGCTGACATCCTATCCGGGCTTCGAGGATAAACTTCCGAGTTATACATATTGTGAAGACAAAGTTGTTGTTGATGATAAACTTGTTACAAGTCGAGGTCCAGGAACTGCGCTGGCTTTTGCAATGAAGCTAGTTGAATTACTATGTGGCAAGTCGAAAGCTCAAACGCTAACAAAAGGCATGCTTGTTTCACTTTAAAACATCTGAACTTTCTGGTTCTTCTGCTATCGTTCCATCATATTAGATTTGGTAAACTCCATATTCATTTAAAATACTTTCATACATTCTTTCAAATAAATTTCAATAACTACTGTGTAATTGTTCTAATCGTTTTATTGTATTTGGATAAATAATTGTCGTGAGATGTTATTAGATTTATTCTCTATGATAGTGCACAAATATAAGTTGCACTGCGATATTCACCCTGTAGGAATAAATATGTTAAACGGCGTCCATTGATATCGAATTCGATGCATGATCCACTTGTGTTTCCAGACTATCCACGTTTTTATGATTGATCCCATATATTACAATGTAAGCTCTTAAAAGGTCCTATATGACTACTGTCGCTACTTCAAGTAGTATATCAGTGCGATACCATGATCTCCAGCTGGCACACTTGAGAACGGTTTTTGTTGGGAAACGAATAAGTGTAATGTTTGCTTAGGTATTTCAGATAACAGTCATGGACTAAGTGAGTATCCCAATAGTTAATCCACACTTTCAGGATATGTATGAGGTCACTAGATTCAATCAGAAATCCTGATGCTACCTGGCTTTTACTTCTTAGTTTGTCGATATTTTATAAGCATTTATCACAGAGCTGATTAATGTAGTTCCTAACATTCCTGTTTGAGAGTTTGTACACAACTGATATCCCCAATCTTAATTGTCTTCCATGTATTTAGTCAGGGAATTGTTGGATGTAAATATTGTATACTGAGTGGTTTTCTCGTAAGCATTATCCGCTTCCTTGAAATCCGTCAACAAAGATTCGGGACTAAATTAGGACCTTGTTGGAATCACTGTAGCAACTAGTGTCTATTAAATATACCACTTACTACCGTGTCGTTGATTAGTGTAAGACGTACCATATCCCCAAGATCTGGTACTAGGCAAAATCAACCTGCATTAGTCTTGATACTTTCGGAAAAGTAGAATTATTTCGTTTTATACTTTCTTGAATCAGAGGATAAAGATCTTAGTTACTACACACATTTTTATCCATTCTAACAAATGGATCCCTAGCTATCTTGGCACAGATATTGAGAGCTCAAGACTCACTTTGTAGTCTAAGATAGCGCTATTATACCCTCTCCCTAGTAATTGACGTTTAGGTATGGAGCACGAACTAGCTTCCTATTCTGTAATTGTAAAGGTTGGTTATGCTTCACCTAGATTTTGACAATAGGCTTCACCCATCCTGACCACCATATAGACGATCTTGTAACGAGACGTAGATTTTCAAGCAAAATAACAACCTCTGAGTCCCTTGTAACTTCGTTTGGTCAGTGTCCAAGCAAGACTCTCCAAGTATCATCCCACTCATTCTAACTTTCGACTTATTAGTGAATACCCTGAGTAGACAGGAACAGAACAGGCAGTTACTTAAACTTCTTCATGGAATATAAGAACACATGTTCTACTCAGTGTACGAACAAATCACGTCAAAACTAAGTACAGACCCGTGATAAAGAAAATCTGGATACAGGGTTATAGATAGTAAAGTAGCGACCTCTACGAATAAATACTTCTACTAGAGCTAAAAATGATGAATAGACCAAACGCCTCCAACATGACGACAAGCATAACATACCCTCATCGGCCTTATAATCATAAACATTGACATCACTCGCTTATATTCGTACCAACTTTATTGATTGTTGTCACTTACTATATGTAAGTGGGTTATTTAGTTATCTTTCTTGCTCCATCATTATGTCAAATTCCTTAAGCACGTTTAGTGGTGGGAAGCGTTACAATCTAGTAAGATTGCGTCATTTGAAATTAGTCACACAACTTAGCAGTATTTAAAAACTAGTATATTAATGCCCGTCCGGATTATTCATTAATACTCGCGGAACAGTAGGTCTTTACAGTTCGGTATGTACCACTCCACAATAGTGGTTCAATCATACGCTCAGTAGAATTAGTTTGACTTTTATCATCTCATTTAGATAAACTGGATAACGAAAGATTGGTGCTTTACGACAATAAGTACTTGTCAGATGAACTAATCAGATGTTAGACAGTTTTTTTATCGGTTAATATCAAGTCACTATGTACCCCTCTATCATGAAGAAATAAAGTCGTGCGGATGAATGGTAAATTTTCATGTAATAGTTTAGACATTCGATAGTTATTGTTGTAGAATTTAAGCTCTCAGAAGCTTTTGTTGTATCCAAAGTTGATTAAATTATTAGTAACTCTCAAGTTATTTGTAAACTCTTATTACATGTATATATTCTTATTTATAATTTTTAAGCGATTAGACTACATATATTTATATTTTTTCATCATACGCTTTCATTTGACTTACTGGCCATTAGTATACAATTTACCATTTTCGATTTATTATCAATCTATCAGTTAGTCACCTATATTCAAAGCCACTTTCAGTTTTCTTTTGTATAATAATTATTTTTTTCATTTTATGGTGTGATGCGGTCTGGTCTGCTTGTAAATAAAGTAAGTACGTTTGAAATATGTCATTCATATGGTGGAAGCGAATATTACGTTCTGGACTCAACGGATAGGGCTAGGCAAGAAACTACTACAATGTCGAGGACCAATAAAGATTAAGAATTGATTCAAAGCTGTTAGTGCTAGTTGATGTTTCATTGGTTTAGCACAAGGAAAAGACCATAAAATCAGATCAGCGATTTCGTCACCTGTCTACCTCTAACGATACAGCTGGAAGATAGTGACTACTTAATAAGATTTCTATAAGATTGGATATTTTGACATAACATATAAACCGTTTGAAAAAACTAGTGCCTAGTAACATCTAACGCGAATATTTGGGAGCGTGGTTTAGAATTTGACGTTGTTTGATGTTCCCCTTTCCTAAACTCCGTAACACGAATATAATTATGATTATCAGTTTTAGAATAGTCCGGAATCGAGGCAAGTTTTGTATATAGCCATTAAATATTATCGTAACTCACAAAAACATCGACTTTTACACTACAAGATCACCCGTCAGTTAAATACGTTACCCATTCAAACATTTGCCTTTCTCTTATTACTTAATTCAAGTTAGAAAAGGTATTAGTATTGCAAGTCCTCAACCAGCAGTTTTAAATTCATACTGCTGCTTATCGGAGTTATGTATATATCAGTTTACGAAAGAAAGCCAAACTTGTATGTACATTAGTATTATTTGTTTCTATAATATTAAAATACAAAATATGAAAATAATAACTATTCTCCTTCTCGTTGAGCCAACTTCCCATAACCACCTCGTTCGGCGTCATAATCTTTGCGGAATTCATCTCGAACCTATAGTTATTAAAAACAGCACATTAGCATACGTCGTTTTCCCTTATAAAGACTGACAATTGGTATGAATTTCGACATAAAACTAGTGTACAACACCGTCCACATGAACTAAACGTTAAAATTCGATTGTAATCAAGAAAAATCACTAGTAGGTTGCTTTTAGGCACAAAAATTATATAAAAAAGTAGAGTTTTGATTTTAAAGGAGTTCAATACTATTTAGGAAGACGACTAAACAACAACAAGTTTCAAACTACCGAAAAAGTTTGGTAGTCTCATGATGTCCAAGAATTATACTCCAAATGATATCAGGTCGCTATTAAAGCTATTCTTTTCAACTAGCCGAAGTATGATAAATTACTCGAAGAATTTTATTGATATAAGACCAGATAAGTAATGCTTAGTTTTGCCCCCAAAATCCAACTTGCTTATACTGGACTTTCTGCATCGGTATTACTTATAATATTAGCTCCATGGTATGGATGAATTAATAATTTGATGAGAGTCAGATTGAGTAACTTTTCCTGACAAAGGCAATAGTTAATAGTATTTCATAGAATACAATGATGCTTATTGCATTGGGATGCTAATGCTTCGGTAATAGCATTATTTTCGATTGTTTGACATAAGGAAAAATAGTGCGAAAAGTAACTAATAATCATAATCGAATTGGAGGTAATATTACAATTTAGATATGATATTAAATAACTTCAAAGTAAATTAACAGGATTATTTCTCAACTAATTAAAAAGATTCATCATCTACGTTTGGTATCCTAGAAATCGTTCCAATTCTGGAGTCGATACACGAACAAACTCCAGGATAAGTAGTCACATATATATTGCGCCAGAAAGCATCTCGCATCTTGACGAACTCAGTCAGTCAGTCAGTAACAACGTAGAACTTAGTACGTACGTACATCAGTTCGAGTTGCCATACCACATTAGCACAGAGATGCAGTGGTCGATTCAAATCCCGTAGTGGTAGAGGTAGCAAGAGTATAAGCAGTAATCGGGAAGATTAGGGTTTGGAGATGTTATTTAACGAGTATAATCCAATGAAATAAATTTGGAAAGAGGAAAAAAGGGACATGAAGAATTCAGAAGATTAGAATTTGGGAGAACACAAAGAGTGGATGCACCTGCGCCATTGCAAACGATTTTGAGTCATGTCATTCAGGGTCTCTAACCATCGGTTGCTTTCATCTCGCGGTCCCCAACCAGGTAGTCTACACCTACCAACATGACTCAGTTCACTTGTCAGTGACTTCATGGATTTGTGCCATGTTTTGGTCTGGCCGCCCCTAGCTTTCTTCCAACCTACTCCTATACCACTGAATATAGCACGTCGAGGTAGTCGGTGGTTGGGCATACGTAACACGTGTCCCAGCCATCTCAACTGATGAAGTTTCACTACTTCATCAATTGATTTGCCATCCTTACCTAGTACCCGTTTCCTAACAGCTGCGTCGGGAAATGATGGAGGTATACGACGGAGTCCGTTCCCGTCTCCTATATATAGCTGAAGCCATTGGAATTCGTACATATAACCCCAATTTATGTGTACAGAAGAAATACGTGACCCCCCTATCCCTTCCATGGCCAGTTATAACTTAACTAACAATTCTTTTTATTTATTTATTTTATTTTATTATTATCCTTATTCATTTTATTTTATTTGTGTTATCATTGACCTTATTTTCACATCCATTATTTGTTTGTAATTTTCCGCCTCTTTGTATTCTTCACTATCTAATTATTTACACACATCTTATTACGTAATGATTTTAATGTTTTGTGATTACTATTCCTAGTCTATTTACCCATGTTTATTTGACCTTCCATTTCCAACGTTTAACTATTGATAAGAGTTTTGTTATTGTATTTTATTATTCTCACTATTATCAGTTCACCTGTCTTCCTACTATCAACTTGTACTTTTACCTAGAGACTTATTTTATTTCATTGTGATTATTGACTCATATTGCCTTGATTGGTTTAACATTTTCGTATAAATATTCATGTATATTAGAGTAAAGCCTGATGACGATCTAATTGAAAACAATTGTTCGCTTATATGTGTTGTTCTTACTTGAGTACGACAATATCTAGCAGATGTCCATTAAGCATTAGTTCAATCATGAAATCTTTCGAACTATGCCAAATTTATTTGAAACTATCAAGTTCGACCATGGTATTGGTGCCTACAAACGATATTTATAGTAAGAAAATTGAGCTCATGTTTTTATTATAGGATCCTATTGACCAGTCCATCTTTAATTATGTATCAGACTGATTAGTAAGTACATCAAAAGCATAAATCTTAAAACCAGACATAAACAAATTAGCAAATACCGGTTAATCGGTCAGTTACAGTTTTGAAACTTCATTGAAAAACTAAATTGAAATAAACTAATAATAAAAATTGGATATCCTATATTTTCGAAAGATATTTCTTTTCAGCCAATTTTAAATCATTTTTAGGAACTAGAACACAGGTTAACTTTCTATCCACAAAAATATTTCGTCCCTTGAATTTTCAAACTTTCTTAGCGTCCCTCACATTCTAACGCAAGTATTATGCATGCGAAAGATACGATAAAAGAACACAAGTCTGAAGAAAATTACACTACGTTACTGTGGGTAAAACACTTATCATTTAATTTTACATGACAATGACGAAATTCGCAGTTACGTACTGCAATATATCATCCATTGGACAAACGAATATGTACATCTGAAGACAAGTCTGAGGTTGAAGAAACTATAAGAATCTTAGACAACCTACAGATGCACGGCATCTGTGTCAATCTGAAGTCAACCGTCATGTTGACAAAGTTAAGATATAAACCAACAAGGAAAACGTCAAACACATGTTTATAAATCAACTTGATAAAATGGTTAGCATAAATGAAGATCATCAAAATAAGCTGATCTTAAATTTGTGCAGAACTTTTGAGAGCTTTACTCTTTTTGAGGCTTGAGTTGCTTATGAGGTTATTGATGTGATTATTTCTTCCTTTATTTCCTATCATAATGTGAAATGTAGAAGATGGGTAAATGTACATTTTCTTGAGGTTGCAATGTTTTAATGTCTAGTAGTAGCTAACTAGTGTACAAGGCCTAAAAGTATGTAGTTAGTACGATTACTTATAATAACGATAAATCAAGCCTTTTACCTGTCCACCACTTCTTCCCCGGCCATACTGTCTTCCTTCTTCAAAACCCGCATCCCAGTCTGTGCGAATTATTCGATCATCTAATCGGGTTTTGTTAATGTATCTCATGGCCATTTCCGCACCGTCCCGTGTACAATATTCCACAAAACAAAACCCACATGGAGTTTTATCAAATCTGTGTAAGCCCATAATGACGCGCTTGATTTCGCCGGCTCGGCTAAATAGTTCCCAAATTTGTTCTTCACGAGTGTAGAAAGACAAATTCCCGATGTATAAAGTGGTAGTTTCTCTTAGACATTGAGATAATTCCCGTGAAGTAAACTGAAATTAAATCATAGTGAGAGTTATAATATATTTTCACTCTTTTTAGTACAACAGTAAGACAGCTAAGACATGTGACCATGAGATAATAATGAATAAATTATAAGAATATCATGCCATCAATTATTAAGGCATGGGTTAGAACTTCATTCCACCTGCTCCAGTTTGGAGAGCATAGTATGATTACTTCTTATAAAAAGTATTTAAAAGGCAATTTTAAAAAACCTATGGTTGGTGCACGAATCACATTGGTAAAATCAAGACAGCACATGAATTAACTTTTTAGCTGTTAGCCTTTTATTTATTCTTCTCAGTGACTTTCACTGCCATCCTACAGCTAACAGTTGCAATGCTAACAAAATGGTTTCATCTAGTCGTGGCAATGATTAGATCCTAAATACCTCGTATTTTAACTTTGGGTAGTAGTGCAGTTCATTGAGACACATTAATGCATAATTTGCCGACTTGGTTGAACTTCACTGGTCACTGATTCTCACTTGGACCCCTAAATACCCTTATTATTTTATTTATTTTATTTGAACACATAAATATTGGTACAAGAGAGCGCCAATATATATGCGCCACACCCTAAATACCCTGGTATGGCTGAGAGTGGGGAGAGTCAGCTCTTCCTCTCAAAATGCCCTCACATGGCCACGCGTATACAGCCTCTGCCATGGAAGTCCTACACACTGCCTTCTCGTGACAGGGGTGTTGTTTACGAAATCGAGAGGACGAAAAGCGAATGTCCGGAGCTTTAACCGGGTTGGTGGACATGGAGCATCAACCTAGAGGAGTTGGGAAACTCTAATTCCAAACCAATGGTGCACATAGGTTCCAGCATCCTAAAGGAACAAATGGCGTATGAACGACTCGGTGGTCACCGGCTACTATGTAACTGCATCTCCTTACGTTGCCCCACTACCTTGTGGATCAGACCTTAAGGCCGAAGGCTCCGGGTGTGGCTCCCTAATAAAACCACCTGCTTCGGTTTAGGCACCCGAGCAGTAACACAGCCCTCCCACGTATCAAAAGAGACTTGTGTGACGCATATGTATTTGTTGCCTCATTGTACTAATATCTATGTGTTAACATAAATAAATAATAAATGTTGACTGGGAGGTGATATACTGACAAAACCTTTATTACAGATCGTCTGACTTTTATAAAGATAGCTCTAAAATCTACCTACATGAATATATATCAAAATGGAGAGTTCGTGGTATGCATACTGAGTAGTATTTGATTTAAAACAAAATTCAAGCTGACGAACCAGTTTTAACCAAGTTAAATGACCGCATTTACACGGCTTTAAGGAAATAGAGTAAGTTATATGAATAATCTGGTCAACACTAGTTCTATATCCATGTAGGAACGATCTGTTATTATTTTCCAAGGAGTTCCTTGAATCTATGAGTACTTCAGTGCTATTATATTATCCAAGAATTATTTCAGATTATATAAACTATATTCTGAATCTGCTTATTCCTCCCTAAACGTCACACACAGTAACCACAAAAACTGTTTCCACTTACTCGTGGCAACCCTTAATTCGATATAATTTACCAAAAGAACGTTAGTTTAAATTCTTACGTGAGACTTCGGTAGTAAACAGTTACGTAACTAAAAAATCTGTGTGAATAGTTCTGACATAGCAATTTTGTTTAAAATACCATGAATTTTTGAGACGCTATCCCTAAAAACTAAATGGTAACATATGATGTATTGCGATGGTAGCTAACAAAAGTCTGGCTTACGAAACATCAGAAGTATATATATGTGAGTATTCTATTTAATTCAATTGTTAAATGCATCAGGACTTCTATACATTATCAAATGCATCTGGTCACAGCTGTGACAGTAACTTTACAACTGATAAACATGATTTCAGCAAGATATTTTTAAAGAACAGATATTATGTGCCTTTGAAAGATTGCAGGAACGAAAACAATACTAAATAATTTGTTACGATTGGTTGGTATGAGGAAAAATTTGGCATCCCGGAACTTACATCATTCCTTCTGTCACGGTAGGGTGATTTATAGAACGAAGCATCTAAAATATCGCACACTGCTTTGTCTCTCGGCATACCGTACCGCGAGATTCGATATGCGCCAACGACCTGGAAGATTTCAAACGTCCAATATTTTTGTTATGAGTTAGGATAAACCAGTTAATTTCGTTGACCCACCTTCCTGCCGAAAAAAGATTATTGTCCTAAGGAGTGAATAAATAAATTGAACAATTGCTAACGTGTGTCAATTATCTTCATTGTCATAGGCTTGTATTGAAGATGCCACAGGTATTCGGAGTTTGACAACGCTTAAACCAGTTACACCTCCCAATATGTAGCGTACCCACCAAGTGAACTCAAAAGCAAGGAGGTTCGAAGATAAGTTTGATAGGCTATCAATATATCGAGGATAGTCTGATCTAATCCGACTAGTGATTGCAGGGGTTGTTGAGCACGGCGTTTCCACTCATGATCTAGTGAGGACACATGACTAAGGGCCTTCAGCTAGGTGGGTCCGTTAGAGCTAAGGTGGTCAGCATCCAATGTTGAAAACTTACAGAGCTATTTATTTTTTGAATTTATTTACCACTGCATACCACTTCCCCTCTAGTGCGGAAGTGATGACCCTAAGACGTGGCCAGTCAGAAGTTTAAACCCAAAGAGTTTGTCGTTGGCAAACATTTTTCTGATAGCTTGCTAGGTTAAACAGCGTTTAGTTGTCTTTCCTTACCATAACGGACCATGAAGAACAATATAGTAATAAAAGAAAGAGTACAATGAGGATTTCGGTTTCTCGTAAACTTTATTGTTCTTTTTATCGTTTTTTTCCAGCCGTCGAGGAAAAGAAAAAATATGTAAGTGTATGTCGAGATACACTCGTACGCGCTTAAAAACACAAAGCGCCAAAAAAGAGGGAAATAAAATCATGCACATGTGATAGCGTAAAAAAAGAATTTTTACAAAGTAGTTTTTTCGTTTTTTTTTAAAAATAAAAATAAACATACATGAGCTTATTAAAATGGATTTTCTTTAATATTATATGTAGTACAAATAAAAATCGAGGTGATATAAAATGTCAACTGGTATCTCACGTGCAATAACCGTTCAAATGTTCTGGAAATCTTACTCTTACTCCAGAACGCATTGTTTTACGTTTATTTTCTGGTACAGCTGAAGTATTAGCGCGCATGTTGGCTGTCGGTTGGAGTATTATAAGTGTGGGGGTCGTGTCGTGCCACTGTGCCGAAGGAAGATCGACGTGGATAGGATTTCCTTCTAAATACGCTGCTTCGAGGCAGTCGATGCTGATGCTATCGTTGGTTCCGTTCTTATCGATTACATAGTACTTAGGTTCGCGTTAAAGATCTTTGAAAGGTCCTTCGTATGCTGATTCGAATGGTCGTCGTTTTGAGTCTCGACGAACGAAAACGTGTGTACTATATCGTAAGTCAGGTTGAACGAAAACATCGGTGGATAGTGGTCGTGTGGATGCAGGTTTAACTGAACGCATTGCGTTTGTAAGCCCGTTTGTGTACGAGGTTAGATCCATGTTCATTGAAGAGGATGAAGGATCCACAAATTCTCCTGGAAGTCGAAGTGTAGTTCCATGAACGAGTTGAGCCGCAGTGTATCCAATGTCAGCTTTCACTGCATTGCGAATACCTAGTAAGACGAGTGGAAAAGCGTCGGTCCACTGTGAAACGTTTGCAGCTGATGGTGAAGCTTTTAGTTGTCGGTGAAAACGTTCTACCAACCCGTTTGCTTGTGGGTGGTATTCGGTCGTTCGGAAGCCAGTGATTCCTAAAAGTGTGGTCAGACGACGGAAGATTTCTGATTCAAACTGACGTTCGCGGTCTGTAGTGATGGTTGAAGGGCAACCGAAGTTTGCTACCCATCGTTCGACGAAGGTGCGGGCCACTGTTTCAGCAGTAATGTCTTTGATATGTACTACTTCTGGCCATCGAGTGGAATAGTCTACACTGGTTAAGAGGTAAGAGTATCCATTTGAATCTACTAAAGGTCCTACAGAGGAGCGTGTCCACTCTCGCAAGTCTTTATTCATGCCGGGCCAGCGAAACCGTTCTGCTTTAAGCTTGATAGTTGCACGAACACTTGGATGAGAAAGTTTGTGCAACTTATCAAAGACGTTGCATCGATAATGTTTCGGCACGATTTGTCGATCCCTACCTGTAGATTCGTCACAAAGTAAGGTTCCCTTACCTGTTCCTATCTGTTTAATGTGCAGCTTAAGGGTTGTTGACGATAGTTCATGCTGAAGATTAGTGTCTTCTCTTTGAATCTCAGCTATTTTACGAAGGTCGTTTTCTTGGAAACTGTTCAAGGAAGTTGTGTGAGACAAGGTGTCTGCGAATACACTGTTTGCTCCAGAAATGTGTTGAATATCTGGAGTAAACTGCGAAATGTAGTCCAGTTGTCGAGACTCATGCGGTGAGTGCTTGTCCGAAGAAGAGCTTAAAGAGAAAGTAAGAGTTTTATGGTCAGTAAAAAGGGTTAATCCACGGTCTTCAATAGAGTGTTGAGAATGCCGTACAACACAATACACAGCTAGGAGTTTCCTACCGAAACTGCTGTACCTCGATTCAACGTCCAGCAACCGTCTCAAGAAAAATTCCAAACGTTACCAGGAGTGGTTAACCCATTGTTGTAAGATTCCTCCGATTGCTGAGTCGAATGCGCCTACTGCGATACTAATGGGTGCTTTAGCGTCCTGATGTGCAAGCATTGTTGCTTTGGCGATAAGTTCCTTAATCGTGGAGAATGCTTTTCGCACAGTGTCGTCCAGGTTGATGGATTTCGCATTTCCACAAAGTTGGTTGGTTAACGGTTTCATAAGTGACGCACACTTCGGTATGAACCGTCTAGAGAAACTTACAAGGCCGTTAAATGTGCGTAATTGCTTGATGGTGGTCGGTACTGGGTAATCCACCACTTTGGTTCTAAGGAGTCGGATGCTTACGCATCAGTAATGTGTCCTAGGGAGTCTAATGAGTCAGTTCCGATTTGGCATTTCTGAATGTTTGCAACAATGTCATGTTTTTGTAGTCGGTCGAAAACAAGATCCAGATGCTTGAGATACGATTCTCTGTCCTAACTTGCTATTAGGCAGTCATCAACATACGCATGTACGAAGTTGAGACCTCGAAAAACGTCGTCCATGAATCTTTGGAATGTTTGAGCAGCGTTTCTTGGACCGAAAGGCATTCCCAAAAATTCGTGGAGTCCGAAAGGAGTTATGATAGCGGTTTTCGGAATATCGTCGGTAGCCATAGGGATTTGGTTATACGCTTTAACCAAGTCGATTTTCGAAAAGGCAGTTGAACTTTCAAGGTAGCTGTCGAATCGTGAATGTGAGGCAACGGGTAACGATCGGTAATGTTTTTTGCATTCAATCGACGATAGTCACCAGCTGGGCGCTAATCGTTGCTATCGTTTTTGGGGACCATGTGTAACGGAGAGGCCATGGGCTGTTTGACGGTCGTATGATGCCTATGATATATTATGTGATCGAATTCGTTTTTCGCCAACCTTAGCTTTTCGGAGGCTAGCCGGCGTGCTTTAGAAAATACAGGTGGTCCTGTAGTCGTAATATGTAACGTTGCTGGTTACACACGGCAATTTTGGTTGCGGTTAATATATCCCAGAATACTTATCTAGTAGTAGTTGATAGAATGGGTTTATCATTTGCTTAATTGTGACTGGATATTATCTGCAACCAGAAAAAAAAGTTACGCAAACAGATAAATTAGTATTTCCATCTACCGGCCTCCCTTTGCGCGTATAGATACGTGGATTGTGGTGTTTTCAGAGGTCCGTGACAATGATTGGCATAGAAACATCTGCAACAAGAAAAATCTAGTGAATGGGTTTGCGTAAACCTACGTTGAGGTAAACGTGTCTCCTACCGTATGTTGCGATAGACTTTCCGTTTGTTGCCTGAAAGTTTAAGACCGATTCGCGAAACCGATCGTTAGAATTTGCAGGAAGAACGCTAAATTTTGCGCTAGTATCGACGAGGTAGCGAACTTTCGTCATCATATCTGTGACATGTAAGAGACAGCTATGTTTACCTGCTACGGTTGGCGTTAGCGCGTGCCGGCTTGGAAGTTTCCCGAATTTTTTTCGTGTCAATCGATTTTGAGTCGTGAAAGTTTCGGGGTTTTCTGCAATTTCTAAAGGACTTTCCATATTGATTATGGTACCAGCACCGGTCAGAGTTATCAGTCTTTCATGGTCTAGAAACAGATCGCCTACGTTAAGTCCTTCTTCGCGAGGTGTTTGACTGTTTACGGTCGTAACGAAATTTAAGATAACGTGAAAGTGTATGACATAATTCTGTAATGTCATCCTGGGTCGTTTGAGACTTTTCTCTGACTGAAAAAGCCTCAGCATTAGATTTCGTGATTTCTAAGATGCGGTCGACAGATGCAGCCAGCTCGTCTAAGGCTTTGTTTTGAAATCAGACCAACACAGCTTGCACCTGTTGAGGTAATTTGGATAAGGAAAGTTGTTTGAATAAGCAATAATCGAAAATTCTTTGCTGATAACCTCTCTCATTCTTTGCAACATCTCTGTCGCAGAACCGTGTTGCAGGTCGATGTTATTGAGGAGTTGGTCTAACCGTTGTCGATCGGTTAGGTCTCCGCGTCTAAGGATAGAACGTTTCAGTGTTTTGTGGGGTTCCGAAACATCGCTAGTAAACATGCTAGGTGTTAGGAACCTGTTGAATTCGCGCAGTAGTGCCTTGACTGCTGAGAGGAATTGTGCACGTGTGTCACTCCAACCGTGCTCGCAGAAGTCGGCTTCTGTGTAGCAGAACCAGGCTTCGATGTTGTCTAGCCAGAAGGGCATTGGTTTCAACGAAAGTGGGGACATAGTCTTTAACTTAGGTATTTTGGGTGTCTGATCAGTCAATATCAAGCACGAGAATCAACGAGTGAAATATATATATATATATATATATATATATATATATATATAACACGGGAAAAAAATATCATGACTTATAAAAAATTAATATAAGGCAATAATATACGGAATTCCAAAAAGGAACAGACTCACGCTCTACAATTCGGTGTACCAGATCACGTTAGGCTC